AAGTGAGAGAATTCTTGGAAAAATTCAAAGAAGAAATGAAGGAAACATAAATGGATGTGACAGTGACAGATGAGCCTACACAAAAGCCTCAACAGGTTCCTGTAACAGGAAAGTGAAAGGGACATTACTGAATTAGTTGCTACAGGTATTGACTTTTCTAAATTTTTGGCCTGACTATGGATTACAAATGCTTAACATGGAATATAAATGGAGCAAATGCTTCTCAAAAAAAAAGGAAAAAAATCAATATTTGAAAAAAATTAATTTTTTTTTCTTTGCTTACAAGAAACACATATTAGAAAAAAGGATGTAAAATATTTGACTTACAAAACTTTGGGTGAAGAATTTATTTCAACAGAACAAAAAAAGAAATGGAGTTGTTTTATATATAAATCCCCAACTACAACCAAAACTTATACTGACTGATGAACATGGTTAGTTATGTTGGGTGGAAGTTAATTTGCATGGGGTTAAGACTCTGATATTGGGAATCTATGCCCCAATGAGGATAAAGTAATGTTCTATAAAGGACTTATGGACAGACTAATTTGAGTTTTTCTTATGAAAATTGGTATTTAATGGGGGAGTGGAATAGAGTGGTCTCCCCACAAGTAGACAAAACTTGTGAGTAAAATATTGAAACCACACAAGGTAAATTACCAAAAGTTTTTTTTTTTAATTTGATGGACAATTTAGAGCTTGTTGATGTATGGAGACACTAAAATGGCAATTCAAGAGAATATATTTATTTTTCTGAAAGACATAGATTTTTTTCAAGAATAGATATTATTTGGATTTCGAAGAATTTGGCTACTAAGGTTCATAAAGTAAAAATACCACCAAAGACTTTTTCAGATCATAATCAAGTGAGTTTGGTTTTTACATGCAAACCCAGTTCTTTCAGATGGAGGTTAAATGAAATGCTGTTACAGAAAGAAGCAATAGTGGAGGACTGTAAAAAGAAATTAAAAGAGTTTTTTTGAAAATAATCTTAAAAAAAGTACGGATGTAAGAATGGCTTGGGACACAAGCAAAGCTTTCATGGGATATTTTATACAACATAATAGTTAACTTAAAAATAAGAGGCAAGAGAAAACATAAGAATTTGGGTTTTTTTAAGTCAATATAGCTTTGTTTTCATTCCTGGGGCTGACAGTGAGCATTAAAGTCAGACATATTGAGGCCCAGTGTCTTCTCTGAGGATGTAGATTTAGCAAGACGTGGGGATGTACACCAGGTTCTTCGTGTTAGCTAGTGTGGATAGAAGATTCATTATTCCTAGAAGTTACGACATTCTGCACCTGCACTTTGTTTTTGATTTCTTCTTCCGCTTCTTGACTTTTGCAGGTCAACGAAGTTAATCCGGAAGACATTATATGCAGAATAGAATGTGAGAGTCCTAACAACGACCTTAACTCCTTCCGGGGCTTCATGTAAGCAGTTCTAAATATGCTCTTATGCTGCTACTTCCCTTTGAGAAAAATGTAGGGCGCTCCTTTTTTAAGCAGGGCTAGTTAGCTCTTTTCTTATCTAGGAGAAGACATTTTGTATGGTCAACCACCTGAAAATCTCAGTTAAAAAATACTAAAAAACAATCAAACCAATCAATGGCTGGTGTGGGTCTTCCGAGCTGTGTGGCCGTGTTCTGGAAGTTCTAAACTTCCAGAACACGGCCACACAGCCCGG